CATCCATCCATCCATCCATCCATCCATCCATCCATCCATCCATCCATCCATCCATCCATCCATCCATCCATCCATCCATCCATCCATCCATCCATCCTTCCATCCTTCCATCCATCCATCCATCCATCCATCCTTCCATCCTTCCATCCATCCCATCCCATCCAATCCCATCCCTTCCCATCCCTTCCCACCCCATCCCGCCAATTATCCCATTTAACGCGCAACGCGCGATAAGTGTTCAGATACAAGCATACCTCGCACAAAATACTAATTGGTAATATTCATGAAATGGATATCAGATTAAAACCGTGAAGCACAGCCTAACAGCTCTATTATTTAGTTTATTAGCGTTGCTCACCGCGTGAAGCTACATCCCTAACCCGTAATAAACGCCGTGAATTCCTGTAATCTCTCGGATACGAGCGTATACCTCGCACAGCATACTAATTGGTAATATTCATGAAATGGATATCAGAATAAAATCGCGCAGCACGACCTTGGGGAATTCCGGTAAAGTCGCCACTAGGTTTATGTTGGCTAGGGTAATATTTCCTACGCATAGGCAACTTCTCCTTCATTACCCTTCTCTCCTTTGTATAATATCACGGCCTCTATCTATCGCTGTATATATCTCTAACCCATCTCTTCTCTCATCTATCGCATATATTTCCATCTATCTCTCACCCTTCTGCGTGTCATGTTTGTACATGGGAGTCTGTGTTTCCTTCATTTTCTATCACCCACTACTCTTACCTCTCACACACTTAGACTTAAGTCTGCCTATATCTCTCTCCCAGTCGCTCTTTCCTTCAAATGTATGTATAACTTATAAGTGCATGAATGCGTCTTCGATCTCTGTTTATGATAGCCGCCCGGGGATTTCCTCGTTTGCTGAAAAATTTCGGAGTATGAAATGTTAAAGCGATGATAATGTCTCCATAAGTCATTCTTTTAAACAGCCATTATCGGCGCGGAGATGTGTCGTAATGGTTGGAAAGACGAGCGCGGCACCGGCGCGACGCGCGAATTATCGCATTTTATGGCATCGGCGTAAAATCAGCGTTGCAATATGGAAGTGACAAGTGTAAATTAACGGCGAGATGGCTCGGCGAGCGAGCGAGCGTGCGCCGATGTATGGGGAAGGACTTTATTGCGAGCGATGACTGCGAGGCGATGCTGCCTGCTTCGTCGTGGCATGCTATCACTACGAGCACTGCACTTGTTTGATATCGGGATGCATCGAGATGATGGAGACGCACGGATGAGTAGCGGATACTATCGACAAATTCATTTGGGGTGACATGAGAATATACATGGCACAGAGACGAACATTACAGAGACTGAGGCAATAGAGATATGTGATTAGTGTACATAGATGTTACAGGCTCTCAGGGTAGAGACATACATGTGACAGAGACATACATGTGACAGGGACATACATGTGACAGAGACATACATGTGACAGAGACATACATGTG